ATTATTATAGTACATACCTGTATTATACAGTCTTTACGTTACTATAGTGTATGGCTGTGTTCTTTTGTCTACTGGTCTATTAATCACTAAGAGGATATATGACAAGATTTGAAATATGTCTTTATTGACAGCTCTAGTGAGAAATATCAAATCCCAGGGAAAGCCCTCCAAGTTGGCCTGGCTTGGATCACATGCCCATCCCAGGAGGAGGGTACCATAAGGACAGAATACAAAAATTGCCCCAGCTTGAGTAATCTACCCATCTCTCTGGTTAGGATGGAAAAAGAGAAGGGCATATTAGGCAAAGTCAGTAACTACTACACTCTCTCTTTCCTCCATCCCACTTTCCTGCCTTTTTAAATATATATTGGGGTATGGAACCCAAATTATAATGGAATTTTTTTTTTAAACATTCATTTTTCATTCAACAAGTATTTATTGAGCAGTTGTTTTCCTGGCACTGTTCTAGACGCTGAGGATATACCAGTGTGAACAAAACACACAAACATTCCCTTCCTTGTGCAGCTTTATCTTGGAATGAAGGACAGACAAATAAGTAAAGTATGTTGTCAGATGGTGATCAGAAAAACAAAGGAATGAAGTGACAGGAAGTGCTGGTAGGGTGAGGTAGGGATAACAGTGGCAATTTAAAACAGGTTGGGCAGGGAAGGCCTCGATGAGAAGATGACAACTTAGCAAAGATCTAAAGGAGGTAAGGAAGCAAGTTATGTAGCTATTTGTAGGAACAACAATTGCAAAACTACAATGTAGGAACAAGCAAACTGGAGTGGTTACTACAGTGAGTGAGAGAGCAATAAGAGATAAGTCAGGGGTAACAGGGGGCCTGTATCATGTAAAGGCTGATAAGCTTCTGTAAGTGAGATAGGGAAGCACTGGAGACATTAGAGCAAGAAAGTAACATGATCAGACTTACAGTTTTAAATAATTTATCTGGCTGTTGTTTGGAGAATGGATTATAGGGGAGAAAAGAGAAACACAGGGAGATCAGTTAGAAGACTAGTGCAATATAGAGATGATGAAGGCTTGGGCCAGTGTGGTAGCAGTAGAGGTGGTGAGAAGTGTTCATCTTCTGGGTGCATTTAAGGTAGAGATGACAGCACTTCCTGGCAGCTGGGTGTGTGGAGGGCGAGAGAAAGAAGAAACGAATATGAAGAACAGAGTTGCCACTTACTAAGAAAAGGAAGACTGAGGAAGAAGAAAGTTTGACTGGGAGTAGGGGTGAGCTCGAGAGCTCAGTTTTAGACAGGTTTGGTTTCATATGCCTATCAGACATTTTGTAGCTGGACACTGAGTCTGGAGTTTAGGGGAGAGATTCACATTGGAGATATAAAATTTAGTAGTTGACAGAAAAAACATATAAAGCCATGAAACTGAATGAGATCAGCAAGGGAGAGCATGTAGACAGAGAAAAAGTCTGAGGGCTGTGCCAGTGTTTGGAGGTCAGGGCAATGTGGAGGCATCCACAAGAAAGACTGACAAGGAGTGGTCACTGAAAAAAGGAAGTTCAACTGGGAAAGTATGGCAACTGGGAAGACAAGGGAAAAAAGTGTTTCATGGAGGAGCATGATCAAATGGATCAATGCTGCTGATAGTTCAGTTCTCATCTGACTTGACCAGCTGCTAGATTTGCAACATGGCAGTCACTGATGACATTCAAGACAAATTTGGTGGAATGCTGGAGACCAAAGTCTGACTGAAATGGGATCAAAATGGAATGGAAAGAAAGTAAAGACTGGGAAGTTGTGGAAAGAGCAGCAGGGAACAGAAACAGGTGGAAACTAGAGGGGAATGGGAGTTGTGCGTGTTTTTTTTTTTTGTTTTTTTTTTTCCTTTCAAGTAAAGGTGGGGGGATATATAATGCAGGGCAGAGAGGGGACAACTGATGAGTAGATGAGAGGGGATGGAATCTAAGAACACAAGTATAAGATAAACTTCAGATTGGATTTGGACGGTTAATCCAATAAGGAAGAAGAAAAAGTAGAATGTTATTGGAACAGGTGCAGGTGAATTGGTAGATATGGTGATGTGAGCTTATGGAAGTACTCCTCTGAATGTCTCTATTTTCTCAGTGAAAAATGAAACAAAGTCATTATTTGAGAGGGAGAATAGGTGAAGAGGAACTGGAAGTTTAAGGAAAAAGATGTTTTAAATATCTTCCTGGGGGTTAATTGACCAAATTGCCAGAAAACATTAAGTGCCCATTTGAGGTTAGTAATCTAATAGTTAAATTAAGACCAGTGAGCATGGCTGGGTATTTTCTCCAGCTTTGCTCAGCTGGACAGCTGCAGGCATGGAGTAGGCAGACCAAGGTACTGGGATTTAGACAGCTAAGTGCAATGAAGCAAGAGGAGGGGTGAGGGAGACGAGGGTGTATGGGTGATTTTTTTCTCCATTTTTTTATTGCTATAAAAAAAGACAGTTTTTTATACATTTGCCAATTCAGCATTTGCCTCTTGTACAATTCAATGAAACCAATTATATCAACCATGCTGTGCAACCATCACCAATATCCATCCATTGCCATATTTTCCATCTGTATGGGTGATTTCAATGATGTACTAGGGTACTTACATTGAGTAAGGAAGGATGTGAGGATATGAGGGGAATGTGGTACAGTGGAAGAAGTCGTATGTCTAGATAGAGTTAAAAATTTGTTGGAGTAGGGGGCTGGAAAAATTGAGCTGGAAAGACAGGAGGACGTAGACAGAGAACAGGAGGCTTGAAATCAAGATCACGTAAGGAATGCAGTTGTTGTTAATGACTAGAGCTACAATATGACCATGGGAAGAAATGGCTGAAGTAGTCTGAAGCACAAAGTCATTGAAGGAAAGGAAGTTAAGGACCCTGAGAAGTCAGGGTATTGGAAGGCTCTCTCTGTGGCCTTAAAATTACCAAGAACTAGGACAGAAGTAGTCTTGGCGAGGACAATAAGCCAGGAGCTAAATCTTCAAGAAATGAGAAACAGTGATATGCGAGTTGGTAGATGACTACAAGAAGGAAGAACACGTCATGTGATTTTACTTTTAAGATTTCAAAAATATATGTTGTTTTATAGCCATATTTATGTAATTATTTAGACTTAACTCTATGTCAACTGTTTTAAGTTTGTTCAACAGTCCTTTTATGCTACAACTTCCCATTCTAGCTCAAATGTCCTTATTTTCTTTTGCTATCACTGTGGAAAATGTGGAACAGAGCCTGTCATGTACACAATTTTCTAAATTTTAAAGCAACATTTTCCCCAAAATTTCCATGGAGCACCAGACCTATGGTGTATTTGCTGACACAGGGGTTCCAAGGTGAAACAAACTGGAGAAATACAGACCACAGCCTCTCTTAGATAATCAGTCTTGATAGAAAAAAAAAAAAAAAAAAAAAAACCCATTGCCACTGACTTGATTCCAACTCATAGTGACCCTATAGGGCAGAGGAAAACTGCCCCATAGGGTTTCCAAGGATCAGCTGGTGGATTTGAACTGCTGACCTTTTGGTTAGCAGCTGCTGCTCTTAACCACTGCACCAGTAGAGCTCCTTGTTAGAAATAAACAAGTTTAATTTTAAGGAGCCCTGGTGGTACAATGGTTAAGCACTCGGCTGTGCACTGGAACGTCGACAGTTTGAATCCACCCAGTGGCTCCGTGGGGAAAAAGATGTGGCGGTCTGCTCCAGTAAAGATTACAGCGCAGAAAACCCTGTGCAGCAGTTCTACTCTCATATAGGGTTTGCTGTGAGTTGGAATCAATTTGATGGCACACAACAAGGACACAATTTAATTTTAACTGTTTTTTCCTCCAATTTACATGACCATAGACTCCTTTTTCCATATAACATCAGTTAACATTCCCATCCAGACATTATTCTAAGGAATATATTTTGGGGAAGGCTGTGTTAAGGGTGTTTGTCTTCCTGGTGGTCTCAAAATAGATGAGATAAGAACTGCTAGAACAAGATATAAGATACTGATTCAGATACTCTCAGAAAAGGAAAATACCACTATGTTACTGTGTTCTCCTCAGTTGCTAAAATGTTAATGAACAAAACCATCTTCAGACAATGATCCTTCTCAGAGATGTCTTTAAAATTAGCTTAACAAATTTCAATACTTGTCTTTCAAAATGATACCATAAATATAAATAAAAAAATATCGGCTTCACTTTATGGTTTATAACCTTATTTTTCCACACTGGCAATGCAATCTCTATTCTAATAAACAGGCCAAGTAAAAGCTACTTAATACTGTAAATATTTTCAGTGGTACATGGAATAACTCATTCTCTCAGGTTAAAAATGTTTTTTCAAATTCTATTTCAAATAGTTAGACCTTCCTGGCTTAAAAAAAAACAACTATTCATTGCTAACATGGGAGTTTTAATTTTGTTCAATATAATACAAACAAAAAGTTATGGAACAGAAATACAGTTAATACAAATGATAAGATGGGAATAAAGCTAACTTCTTTCAATCTGGGGTCTTTCATTTACCTGTGAAATTTTGAGGTAAATGAAACCAGAATTCATTTTAACTCACTAGTTAAACTGCTCAGACTAGTGGTTTTCCCCCAGGGTGGTGATGCTGCTTTTGCCACCTGCCACAGAAAATGTTTTGGGTACAGACTGTGATGTCCATAAGGATGGATGTACGACCGTCAGCTCTGCAGATCGCACTCTGCTCTCACTTATCACAACCCTGACAGGAAGTCACTCCAAAAAACCAGATGTTCCTATCCCAAGATGTATAGACGTCTAATTCAAACTTCCTCAAAATATTTGTTGCCTGATCAGGTTTTCTAGAAAAGTTGTTGTTAGTTGCCATCAAGTCAGCTCTGACTCGTCGTGACCTTATGTGTAACAGAACAAAATATTCCCTAGTCTGTGCCACCTTCATGCTGAGTACTAGAAAATTACTCTCACATAATTAGAGAATATAGGGTGTCTGGGTGGAGGACCAAAAAAAACCCAACAATTAAAATATCAACTTACAAAGGCCAGTGATGGTTTATGAATCAGGCAGGAACAACCTAAAAACAAATAAAAATTATTTATTACTGTTATATAATTGCTACACATCCATTTTTTAATTGAAATTTTTATTAATTGCAGATTCATAAGTAGTTTTATGAAATAATACAGAGACAACCTATGTACCCTTTATCCAGTTTCCCCCAAAGGTAACATTTTACAAAATTATAGTATAATATCACAACCAAGACATAGATATTGATACAATTCACTGCTCTTATTCAGATTTATCAGCTTTACTTGTACTCATTTGTGCATGTGTGTATATATAGTTCTATACAATTTTACCCCATGTAGGCTCATGTATCCACTACCACGGTCAGCACACTGACCAGTTCCATCGCCACAAGGATCCTTCTTATTGCCATTTGATAACCACACCTACACCTCCTTCCCCATGCCCCTTCTCCTGTCCCTAGCCCCTTGCACAACCATTTTTAACACTAAAACAATAATATCTGTTTGTAAACAGTATTTTTTTCATTGTGCTTAAGAGACTACTACCTAGTTATATGCCAAGTCAGGAATAAAGGATGCTATTTTTCTGCATTAAGTAACAATACATTTTAGTTTAAGAAACCAATTTTCTAGGGAAAAGTTTCTTCTGGTTGTTACCAGAGCTTACACTACTCCCTTCAAAACTGAAAAAGTGAAAAGATCTAATACAAAAGGTGTATGAAGCCAATGTTCTCAATAATTTTCTAATAACAAGAAACCTCTGTGTGCTTACCATAGGCCAGTCTTTTATACGTACCATTTTATTTAATCTTCATAACGACTCTGTGAGGTAGGTGCGTTATCCCTGCTTGACCCAGGAGGAAACTTAGGTACCGAGAGGTTTAGTAACTTGCCCATGATCTCACAACTAGCAAGTGGCAGACCAGGGATTCAAACCTGGCACATAGGTACAGGTTCTTAGCACTTGGGCTATGTTGTTGTTGGGTACCGTAGAGTTGATTCCGACTCATAGTGACCCTATATGACAGAGTAGAGCTGCCCCATAGGGTTTCCAAGGCTGTAATCTTTACAGGACATTACCAGGTCTTTTCTCCCACAGAGCAGACGGTGGGTTTCAACTGACAACCTTTTGGTTAGTAGCTGAGCACTTAACCATTATGCCACCAGGGGTCCTTGGACTTGGGCTATACTGTCCCTCAGAAAAAACCTATGATGATGAAATCTAGTCATTCTGTGTCATCAACAGTTTCTATGACAAACAAACCACTTGATTATTGGTAAAATTCATTTTAATATAAAAACAAAAATACCAAATCCATTGCCGTCAAGTTTATTCTAACTCAGAGCGACCCTATAGGACAGAGCAGAACTGCCCCATAGAGTTTCCAAGGAGTGACTGGTGGATTCGAACTGCTGACCTTCTGGGTAGCAGCTGAACTCTTGACCATTGTGCCACCAGGGCCCCCATTTTAATACAGAGGAAATGAATAAGGAAAAGGCCAAAACAATGATTTGTAAAATGGAAGTAGTGCTTTATTCAAACAGTAAGTAATGGGAAATTGCCAAAACAAAGGACAGAACACACAGGAAAAAATTTATACCAAGACAAAGTGACCGCCAGTCCTGAGCAGCTTCTCTTTAATGTATGTTGGTGATACCAGGTAGAGATTTATACGTAACCATAACTGCTCTCAAAATACTCTACTGGGAAAAGACGATCAGAAAGCCTGACATTTTTGGCCACAGGTAAAATCTTCAAAATTAGGTTCTCTAGTCAATGAAACCCATAAACCCATTGCCGCTGAGTCAATTCCAACTCATAGCGACCCTACAGGACAGAGTAGAACTGCCCCAGAGGGTTTCCAAGGAGCGGCTGGTGGATTTGAACTTCCGACTTTTGGTTAGCAGCTGAGCTCTAAAACTCCAAAAGTAATGCTTGGACTGTAATAATTTAGTAAACACCTATTCTGACAAGCTTTATGTAGGTTTATTAGCTTAATAATATAGCACTAATAAAGATTAGTAGACATTTCTGTAAAACCACATACATAGTTATGCCAATCACTCAATAATACTTATCAAGTGTCTATTCAATAAGCAATTGACATGTTGCCCCAAGACCCTAATGGTGGTGCAAATGGCTAACCAACAGGCTGGAGGTTCCAGTCCACCTTGTGGTGCTTCAGGAGAAAGGTCTGACAATCTACTTCCAAAAAATTAGCTACTAAAAGCCCTACAGAGCACAGGTTTACTCCGACAGTCGAGTTCGCCATGAATCACAGTCGACTCCATAGAAACTGGTGGTTTTATGGGAGAAAATCAAGGCAAACTACTCAAAACCTACGCAACTTTGTAACCAGAGCGTTAACCAAATAATAATGGGTACCTGGAGATAACCGAAGCCCTGGTGGCGCAGTGTTAAGAGCTCGGCTGCTAACCAAAAGTTCAGCAGTTCGAATCCATCAGCCGCTCCCTGGAAACCCTATGGGGCAGTTCTACTCTGTCCTATAGGGTCTCTGAGCCAGAATCGACTCAACTGCAACAGGTTTGGTTTTTTGTTTTTTTTGGGGGGGGTGGGGGGAGATAACTATGAGTCTGAGTGACTTGATGGCAATTGGTTTTTTTTTTTTTTTTTGAGATAACTTGGACAGCCCAGGTAGGCGCTCAGTGTGACTAGAGAGTGCCTTCGGGGATATTAAATATGCACAAACAATGAAGGAGAAAGGTTGATGCAGCAGAAATAGAAAGGGAGTGCTCAGCAGTGGCCTCTCACAGCTAGGAAAAGTGACTTCATTCTAGCTCTGTCAACTCAGACTCAACTGAGCTCTGGACGCTGCCCAACAACTCCACATCTCCCCACTTTGTGTGTCTGCGTTTTAGGTGAAAGTTTACAACACAAGTTAGTTTCTCATTCAAAAATCTATACACAAATTGTATTTGTTACATGGTTGCAATCCCTGCAATATGTCAGCACTCTCCCTCTTTCCCTTTATACCCCGGGTTCCTCATGTCCATTCATCCTGGTTTCCTGTCCCTTCCTGATTTCTTGTCTTTGCTTTTGGGCAGGTGTTGCTCATTAGATCTCCTACACTTGATTGATCTAAGAAGCAAGTTCCTTACATGGGTTATTGTTTGTTTTATAGGCCTGTCTCATCTTTGCCTGAAAGGCAGACTCTGGGAGAGGCTTCAGTTCTGAGTTAGCAGGGTGTCTGGGGGCCATAGTCTCAGGGGTCCCTCCAGTCTCTGCCAAGCCAGTTAAGTCTGGTATTTTTTTTTTGTGAATTTGGATTTTGTTCTGCGTTTTTCTCCCACTCTGTCCGGAATCCTCTATTGTTATCCCTGTCAGAGCAGAGCAGTCGGTGGTGGTAGCCAGGCACCATCTAGTTGTTCGGGACTTATGCTGTCTCCCCATTCTTTTGTTATTTCACACCTCCTCTTCCAACTGTCCTCCTTACATTCTACTCTTGTACATACATCCCTCTGCTAGCATCCCCACTGCATGCTTCGCTGAGAAAAGAGAAGCCACTGGACAGAGCATCTCGTCTTTCCAACTCTAAATCTACATGTTTCCCTGCAGGAGGAAGTGCCCTTCCTAATATCAGAGGTCAACGCCACCGCTCCATTCAGAATTTCCTCCAGATCCTCCTCCTCCCTTTCTCTACTAGATAATGCCCTCTACACACACACATACAACCACGCTCTGGTATTTCCCAACCTTTAAAAAAACAAACCTTCACTGACCTCACTTCATCTTCCACCTCCCACTCTATACTCCCACCCTTTCTCAGGCAAACATCCGAAAATAATTGAACACTTAAATAACCCCATTTCCTCACTCCCTATTCACTTCCTAACCCATTGCCTTGGCTCTTATTCCCACTACTCTATCAAAGGATCCTTACCAAGGTCATCAAAGCAATCATTATCCTTGTTTTATAAATCAGGGCACTGAGGCTCAAGAGAGACTAAAGCTCAAGAGAGACTACCAGGTTGAGATAGTAAAAACTGTGTGTGCCTCCCTCAGTGATATGCAAGGGCCCAGGGCTGCCCTAAAGCACTCTTTTCAGGATATTAGACTAAGGACTTCATCTTCCAGGAACCCCCTCCTCCATCCTCTCTTATGTCATCTTCCCTGCATTAAATCTCAAACTTACTCCTTGGAACATCTTATTGCTTTTCATTATTTTTCAGTTGAGAAAAAGGAACCTGCTGGACCCATGATTGTTTTCTATGTTGACCACTTGATGTGTATTATTTTATGTGTCATAACAACCAGAGAGTAGGTGGTTTTATCATCTTTCTACAAATAAGAAAATTTTGGCTGAGAAAAAAAGAACGAAACATTTCCCAAGATCAGACAGTTAATAAGTGACAGAGCTAGCATCTGACATCTGACCTCAGATCACATGGATTCTATGCAGCAGGGTGCCTGCTCTTGGGGTGATTACATCTTATTGTTTCTTGGTTGTTCCCATTAGATGGTGACAAGGCAGGGGCATCACTCATAGAGACATGGCATAGTCTTGTTACCTCCATTATGTCAGAAGACCTAGAACTGATTCAAATTTGCTGTAAGCAGATACATAAGGAACTGATTTATATGTGATAACTGGAGCCCTGGTGGCACAGTGGTTAAGAGTTCGGCTGCTAACCAAAAGGTCAGCTGTTTCAATCCATCAGTCGCTCCTTAGAAACCCAATGAGGCAGTTCTACCCTGTCCTCTAGGGTCGCTGTGAGTCAGAATCAACTTGACAGTTTATGGGACTTTATTAATTTATAATGAGAATTATAATTATGAAGATATGACACTGATCAGGGTGTTTTTCCTTCCTAGCTCTACCTAGGAGCATCCCTGGGTAGTGCAAATGGTTACATGCTCAACTGCTAGCCAAAAAAACAGTTGGAGGTTTGAGTCTACCCAGAGGCACCTCAAAATAAAGGCCTGGAGATCTACTTCTAAAAAATCAGCCATTGAAAACCCTATGGAGCACAGTTCTATTCTGACACACAAGGTCGCCTAAGCAGTACAGAGATTGATACCAGAAGTAGGATACTGCTTTAGCAAAAGCCTAACGTATGGCCTTGGTTTATGGTGAGAAAACTGGTACTGATGGCTGGAATGATGGTGATGTATTTTACACAGTGGCAAAATGTCTGGTAAAACATCTGCTTCTGATACCTCAGGAGGCAGACTGCCCCAACCTTCTACATGCAGAAAGTGTTGCTTAGTTCCCAGGTAGGACATATTTCCTAAACTCCACTTCATATATGGCTAAAGAAGATAATGAAAAAGAAAGACCCTCCCACAGGGCAGAGCCAGAGCTGCGAGAAAAATGAAAAACAAGGCAGAATCAGGGCCTAATCAAGACATATTTCCTTCCCCCAGGGTGTCCCAATATCAGTCTTGAGGGATTTCAAAACTGCTATGAACCAGTGACTCCTATGTGTCTTCCATGTTTCCCTTTTCCAGATGGGAGAGTTTACTGTATTTAGCCTGTTCCTACTCTGTCATTATATATTAAGGTATACATAGTGCTGAGTGGGGTGTATGTAGGTATGTGCGCATAAGTGCATTTTCATTTCATAGATCTCCTAATCAAGAGAAACCATGTCAAGGTCTAATGTAGAAATTATTGCACATGACCCAGAAATCCTAGGCATTGATTGGGTGCAGCCACTGGATGGAAAGTCAACTTGTAACTCTCAGGGAGGAGACAGTGTGTTCCATGTTTGGAAAGAAAAGTAAATGGAATGTTTAGTGACCAAAAGGACTGACTGTGGTTGAGACTTTCAGTGCTCCATTGATATCCAGTCCTCTTCTCCTACCAGGCACATGGGATGAGTATATTTCTCCACTCTATTACAGTTAGGTAGGGCTGTGTGATTCATTTTAGCCAGTGCTGTGAGCAGAAACAACATGTATTCCAGAACAAAGCCATTTCATCAACAGCACGAAGCCCTCTAGTACTACCACCCTGTGCCATGGAAACCAGTGTCTCACTCTCTTGTTTCAGATCATGTATCTACAAGGTATGGGGTCTCTGAA